TAATTAGAAAAAATCAAGATTGAAAATAATATGCCTTTGGGCTTAGAAGTAAAAATTGAAGATAGTTGGACACTAATTAACCAAATTAGCTAGGCCGAATAAATTATAAAGAGCAGCAGTTTTGGGTGGTTGCAAGCCTGACATATTTTTTTTTCCTCATCAGAAGATCGATAGTTGATTTGGAAACTAATTTGGAAACTGCTTAGCAACAAACTGATTTAGAAACGAAGACTCATTCTTTGTTTTATCAATACCTTGATTTTACATTCTTAATTTCCACAAAGAAGATTCAGATCACAAAGATTTTCACAACTGTTCAGCAAGTATGCATACAAAATCTCCTTCTCTGTACTAGATAGTGCCGGCAAGCAAGCACCCAATGAACACAATCAGCAAAATTTTCAAGGAAAGATCTCTGTTCGCTGTCAAGAGTTTGCCCTTCTCTTCACCATAACAAATGTATGAGCATCTTTCTGATCTTCTGACAATTGTGTAATGTTAAAAACTGTGATGGTTGATCTTTAGTTCTCGTAAGATGTTGCAAACTATCTCCATGATAGCAAGACTAGATCCAACTCCCCAGTATGATGCTTCTTGGATTGGATAGGTATCATTGAAGCAGCTCTCATCACCGTATGATTTCCATCCTTCCCATTTGATGTATGCTGCAGTAGCAGCTATGACATTTCAGAAAAAGCATAGAATCAATCCTGCGTAAGGGAAAAAAAAACCCATTCAACTTTCATAACATATATCAGTGCAGAAACTAACAACCATAACATCATGTATACAACTACATGTATTCAGTCAATAAATATAATCTACCAAAATGAAAGGCTAAAATAACCATATCTAAAGGTAAAAACGAAAAGCTTGCATATCTAAGAATGATGAAAAGGCAATACACATCAACTTTTGTAGATAAATCAGTCTATCATTGGCAATACCATTATGAATGATTGGGGCAAACGGTGGCTAATAAGCAAAACAAAAGTTCATGACTCAAGTTTTAGATTGTCATGGCATGAATGAAAGGCTAATCGACCATCAAAGGAAATAGAAACAGGCCACTACATAGATGTGAAATGTGATGAGTAAGCAACAAAATTCAACATCAAATGCAAGTTACCTTCTTGCTAAAGCCTTTTCTTTCTGCTTCACTTCCCGTGCTGCATTATCCCAAAAGAAA